ACGGAGTTTCTTGTACATGTATATGATTGTATATGATATATCTGGCATATGTATGTTAACAATCATAAAATTTCCTAAAATGTTACCCTTCGGAAAAGCTTCCATTTCTCCATATAATCATGAGGTTAAATCAAACCTGCTTGACACATTGCAAAATGCCCCATTGTAATCCTATCGGATATGATCATAATTTACGTAATTTACAAAATACTCCCAAAAATATTTGGCAAAAAATTATGTTTCCGTGCTTTGTAATGTAATAGAGGGGCAGCGAGTAGGCAAAAATGTGTGTAACGGGACACGGCATTGAATTTCAGATATTGCCCCTCCCCGCACATGAAATGGTACAGTCCGCCTGTGGTGACCGCCTATTGTGCCCGCCTCTCGTGCCCTACTCCAGTACTCGCGTCACCCCTTACTCCACCGAGGGCTTGATGCCTAAACGAGCGCCTCTTGCGATCGTAGCTAGTACTGCGTTAACAGGTTGGGTTACAGCATGTCATACCGTCGATGTACCTCGAACTGTTTACCGTCCTACGGAAGAACCAATCAGAGAAGGCCCCGGCGGCTGTTTTCCCGCCAATTTTGATCTGACTGTAGTCGGGTGTTCCTATGATGGAATGGTCGTCACAACTAGGAATAAAAGCGCCCTGGCCGCTGCCTAAACTGGCTGTTACGCCGATGACTTCGGCTTGGTACCGTAGCAGGGCCCTCTGGTCGCTGCCGCTGCACCTTCGCGGTTTGCAGTCAAGTCTCAGGATGTTGTTTAGCGCCCAGGAGTCGTAGGCGGCGTTCAGGACGAACATGGCGGAAGTGACGTAGGGCGCGGCGAACTGCGGTAGGAGACACTTCCACGGGTCTCCAGGGAAGGCCTGTAAACAGGCGGGGTGATCCGGTCCATCTTTGAAGAGATGAGGCAAAATCAGTCATATACTACGAGAAACAACTGACATGCCATTCAAAAATTATAGGGCACACCAAACTTCGATCGCTCAGCCAAGACGGGGGGCGCTACAGACTTCCCGGCACCCTCAATCTACTACGGCAGTCACGTGTTCCAAATGACAACGTTATGTGGATTTTAAATGATGTAAACTGACCCTAGGCCTTCTCTCTGCCTTCATAACATTCATATATCATATCATTCATAACCTTCAACGAAAAGCGGCCGAATTGATTGAGCTTCTCCTGAATAAAACAAAGGTTCAAACGAAATCCCTGGCTGCATATCAAAACACTGTCTTGTATAAGCATGAAGGTTCATCCTTAATACTAGCTTGGCTATATCTTCAACCTAACGAACAAATAAATAAAACCTAGCTCTGATTAAATCAACCACAACAGCAGCACAGATCTTACCTAACATGCCGTGCATGGCAGCCCTTCTCTTGAAGGCCTCGGCCGCCTTGTCGTCCATGTCCCAGACCATCAGGCCGGAGCTGGGCAGCGCCATGTACCGGACAGTCCGGGGGAGTTTGCTCCGGACATGGTCAGCCTGGCGATACACCGCGATACCACCGGCTGGACAGATGTGTTTATCATTTGTTCATACTTGTTTCAAAAAGACTGATCTTGTAGATATAGACGTAGCAAAGTAATGTAGCACCTGTTCCTCCTACCCTTATACCTCAGTTATCTAACGTAGTGCATTTGGCCCATGTAGGGCGTGAATATGCAATAAAAATCATTGTCATTGACATTGTCATTGTCATTGATAATATGAGGGAAACGTGAAAATAATGATTTAAATAGCAAAGATTCTTATTAACAACCACTTTTTAAAAGAAGGGTCGACGTTTTAATGACCGTCTGTCATCGTCATCAGGGCAATTATGACTGGTTCACTGTGCACATCTAGCCTCAGTGCAAAGTGAACCAGAAACATCTAGCTCCAGTCACAGTGTGTGCACAGTGAATATTAGCTCTGGTGAAGATAACAGCCGGTCATCGAAACGCTCTTGTTAAACAAGTGATTGTGCATAAAGAACTTTGCTATCCAATCATTCACCAACCTGATGGTAATAATTCACGGAAGAAAAATGAGCATCCGCTCGTTTTCAAACTTAACATTGCCATTACAAGTCCGACAATACACGAAAAATTGTAATATTCACGAAAAAATTTCAAAACGAACAAAAAAAAAACACTCTTACCAGAGTTCCCGCTCAGGATCACTGTTGTGGCGTTTGACATGCCTCTGACGTCATTCACCTCGTCCAACACGGCATCCAAGATCGCTTGACCCCGGAAGTACAACGTCTTTCCTTTCTGGGTCACCGGATCCGGCCGGTTACCTGTGAGAAACGAGTCCGTTTATATTAAGCAGATCGATCAGTTCACAGGTCACTAAATTGATGACAGAGCAGGCGATAAACTGTGAATTTTCCGTAGATGATGTTATTATTATGGAGCGTGTCACATCACGTACCATGCAGCAGACAATCTGACTCCTGTCGGATTATGATTATTGATTATTTGACGATGATAAATGGGGTCAATTTCAGGACGAGTGGGCACTACTCTCCAATCACAGGTTGAGGCTTCAGTTTAATTTTGACATGTTTTAGCGCTTGGCCAGTGGATTTCTTTCTTGTACTGGAATCTTTTTTAGGCTTCGAATTTTACTGGTATTTTGGGTATTGGTACTTTTTAAGGCTTTTGTTTTACATTTTTACGCGTTTTTACTGGGCTTTCCTTTTTGTATTGGTATCTTTTTTGCCAGTCCAACTTTGGGTTGCAAATGGTAACGTACTGTCTGGCAAATGGATACTACCTGGCCAATTTGATATTGTCTTTGTATCCACCAAAAAGATCTGTTTGTAGATGAAGTTGAAACTTTAGTTACTTACTGGTGAAACATGCACCGTCACAGTAGTGGATATACACCAAGTTCCAGTTGAAGAAATCAGGGTTTTCGTCCTGGTTGGACGACAGGAAACCCCCGAACGTGTCTCTTGTGCGTAACCGCCTCGTGGAGCCGTTATCAGTGAGGCTCCGTGAGTAGCACTCGGCCAGGTCGTCACACGAGCCGCCGCCGTCCAGGTGAACCCGCCACTTGTTCCTGCCACTGCCGGTCCCTAAGGAAACCACAAACCATAGATTTAATAATTTAAACGGCTTTTAATAGGAGCCTGCATGCCCTTTTTCGTAAGGCGTAATCAGGCCTTTTTAGTCTTCGTAATCCGTAGGCAGCCTCCCCAAATCAACGTAATTCGTAATCAGTACATTAGCCACAAAGCGTAAAGTCGTAATTAGCTCTGAGACTTTAACGTAATTCGTAATCGGCGAAGAAAATTTTGCGTAATCACTACCCCCCCCCCCCCCATGCAGGCCCTCTTCAATGGGAAATGCGCTGATGTTGACACATTGGCGCACCAAATCCGTACTGTGTTTTTGGCACACGTTTAGACAGATTAGCCTAAGAGGCATACTTTTGTCTTATGTTGTAATTACTGCTTTATGTCCAGTGGTAACGTTAATATAAGTTACTTCGTATTGTTCTGTTTAAATGTTGAAAAAAGGGAACAATGTTGTTATCATGCTCACCTGGTATGAAGTAATACCCAGGCCTCGAGCCATCCAGACAATAGGCTTTTGTTCTCTCCGCTCTGTCCTGGCCGAGCAGGTATAGTTGTGCCTACAAAAAGGTACAATGATCTCAGCGATTTCGTAATCACTGAAAAATGTATCAGTACCGCCCAAAACAAGCTGCAATCACGGAAACACAATAGTAAGCAGGGCTCGAAATATTGGGTGTACATACACTGCATTGCAGGTAAAAGTAGCTGTTATGTATATCTGCACCTAACCTGCACTGGCCCGTGTACTGGGTTTATATTCAGATGTAGATCTATATATGGATTCTTTCATTGACTGTTAACACATACAAAAGTGTAAAAAAAAATAATGGCAATGATTTCTGAACAGTTTCTAGTATGATCCATACTTCCTAAATTATGAGTGGTATGGGTAATTTTCAACGTTACATGCACCAGTGCAGACATGCGGAAAACGTATTTCAAGCCCTGGTACCGGTAAGCTTCAATTCTAAACTGTGCTTATACCTGAATTCTCATCTGACTCCTGAATTGAATATTAAAAGCACGAGTATCTCCGTTGAGAATGACGCATGAGCCATTTTGATGCGCCAGCGAAATGGCAGACATTGATATCTGGGACAGTGACCTACACCCACGCTATGTCTGCTCATCTTTATATGTCTACCCCAAATCATATTATACGGGGAAATTAATTCATCCATGTCCCTTTCTATTGTACTAGTAGTATAACATTCATGTCTTTCTTGCATTCATATTTATACTACGTAAGCACGCATGGACTTGTAACATATGGTTACCTTGAAATCACATTAGTGTGTGCCACATAAAAAGAGACGTTTCAGCAAAATGACTAGCCTAATGACGAACAAAGGTTAATCCTAACGCTACTGGTGACAATTATATGGCAAAGAATTCTTTAAAAATAGTGTCAATGCATATTCAGCTTTTAACTAGATCTAACGTTAGCAAGATATAAAGCCCAAATCTTATTATTTGAATTAAAAGTTAAATCTATGTTCAATATATAACTCCAAATCTTTATTGACTTATACTTCAGTGAATTTAACATTTCTGTCTTAATATTAGCTTAAGACAATTCATAAAATAATTTGGTTAAAGTGCTTACCTCGCCTGTGTCTTTGTTAGAAAATATTCCTTTCCTTCCGAACAGCCGTCCCGTCATGTATAACCACGTCACGACGGAGATCACAACACACAGGACAACCACCAAACACACCACCAGACAGATCTGGGTAGTGGAGCAGGGGCAGTTCTTCCCTTTCCGGTCTAGTTCTGCTCTCCACCGGCGGCTGGTAGGAGCCTCATCGGGGACTGATGGGGCGATGCCCTCGGAACTCAACTCGGCACGTAGGCTCTCTCTCTCGGGGTCGTTGGAAGCGCCCTCGCCGCCAATCTCACCGCGTTCTGGCGGCAGGAGGACCCGTGCTGAGGAAAAATCTGGGTCTGGTGTATCCTCCACCTCCCAGAGGTCAGGCACAGGTACCCCCGGTCGCGAGTTCGAATCCCGCGGCTCGTAGAAGGGGGAGGGGGGCGGTGTCCCTGCAAGGTCGTCCATAAGATAGCCGCTTCGATCCATATTGTTGTCCCTGTCAACCACCTTTTCTTATAGAATTCAAAATTTTAGCTTGCAAACTGCGCAGAATAAAAGTGTTAGCTGAGAAATCTGGCTTCTGAGAAGCTTATAGAGTAGAAACGTGTGTCAGTCGGCCATTTTTGTCGCGTTCGAATTCTGACCTACATTGGTATTCCAAAACTGATCCTGCCTCACACCTGAACAAAATGCGTAATTGAGCGACCATAATAAAGTCAAAGGTCAGGAACATACCACTATTATTTCAGGTGCCACCCTCTAAAAAATCACTTAATAATTTAATACAAAGCATTCAGGCCTTAGTTGGATTAGAATAAGTTATAGAATGGCTTTATGCATTTGTAAATGTCGCCTAAATGATGAAATTTTGAAATGTCATTTGCGTAATTACACCCAACACCCTAAGGGAGAGAAGCATTGTTTACGGATTGTCTGTGTGCATCTGTGTCATTGCAATGCATTTTCTGTGCGATCTGCCAGAGAGCGCATGCAGTGCAGTGTTATATTCTCATAACCGTCTCAACACTTATGGTGGCAACACTTATGGTGGTCTGCTAGAATGCTATCTCTAATGACTTTGTTTAGTCTAGAGATTGGAATAATACAAACTGTGATATGATCATATTTTGTACTAGTATGAATTAAGGAAACTCAAGAGGGTGAAGGTCGGTATCTCAGATTGCTTTGTTTAGTCTAGCAGTGGCCACTAATACGCGGTGCAATATGATCATATTTTGTACTACCATGAAGGAAGGAAAGTCAAGGTTATACTTGACGCAGGCCTAGGCTAATAAATTAAGAGAAAGATAGGGTTTGTATTAATTTACTTTTAAGTAATTTCTTTATTGTATTATATGTATATATGTACGTTTGATGTTAATGTATATACTGTATGTTGCCATAGCCCATTTGAGGCAAGAAGCAAATAAAGTTCAGTACCCAGTACCCTTGTATTCTGAACACGTAAAACTGTCTTCAGGCAAATTAACGATGTAGACTCGTCTTACATCTGTCCACGTGCACAGACAGGACGCCATTCAATATCCTCGTTGTTTATAGTCCGTAACATGTTACATGGGGTATTCAGACAAATTAACTTGTCGGCAAGACCAACATTTCTGTTGTTCTGCACAAGATGTTTTCCATATCAAAGTTATCGGGTGATTTCGTAGCTAGTTATATCAGTTTTAGGTCATCTTTGTGCTTTAAATTTGTTTTCTTGGCACACTTTTGTTATCATTTTATACTTGAAGCTACGTGAAAACTCCCTTTAGTTTATTTGTTGGTACCACAACTAAATAACCAGAACCAGCCTACGATACGCAATAAGCAAGCAGCCGTTTTCCGTCAGCGACATTGCATTTTTGCCTCACAGATATTTAGTCTACTACATTGAGAAAAATGCTCAGAAAATTGACTATAAAACTCCACCTTTACTGCCCTGAAGTCAATCTGGGTGATTTAAGCCACCACTTCAATGTTTTCGTCAGTTTCTGGCGAAGGAGGCAAATATATGGATCGCTGTTTTTATCTTCTAGAACGAATAGGTGTGTCATTTGAATATTCAAACGATCCAGACTCAATACTGCGTGCCTCGTGAAGATAAGAGTTACGATGTGCCTGTAGGGAAATCACATTAAGAGACTGAAACACCACGACTTCATTAGTGGTTTGTGTCTTATCATTTGAATCTTTAAGATCTTTCATGGTCTTCGCCTAATCGGAATTGAGACATGTAATCTGTTTTGAACCGAATGGAAAAATTATTTATGACAAAATTACCCAATCCGTACTTTCTCTTGTCTTATAGATCTACACATCTACATACAGGTACTGGCAAATTGTTTTTCCAGTAATTTCTTCCTATCAGCCAGAAAATTGCCTGCCCGAGACAGATCTAGACAGTTAAAGCACCATGGCCGAACGTTAATGAATAGATATTAAATCTTTACCGTCAAATTCAAGCTCACTGCGCTGCAATCTCAGGTAATTTAATGTCATGGAACATTAGTCTTCATTACGTCCAATACCGGTGTATAATCGCATTGCGTACTTTAGTTGATATACTGCCTGATGTAAATAAAGCTGGCCGCGAGCATATACATGTACTGGCAGGAGAAGGGTAGGCTCCACCTTCCAATACCGTGTCCTAGACACAGTGGATCAACAACCCACTGTCCATATAGCCTCAAAACGGCGTTACGGGACATATGTATTAGTTTCCATGCAGGCAAATGGACCCTCTCTGACCGACAAACTCCTGGCCAATTAAATCCCATTTTTATGCCAATTTCTACTATTTATTCAGCCTGCAAAGGAGTCTGGTTACCTATGTACTACCTCTACCTACAATGATTATATAAGATAAGTATTGCACATGTGACCCGTATTCCAATATGGACGATTTTGTATTTCCATATAAACTTCAAGGAAAACAGATATACAGAAAAGCCATTCCAGTTTCAGGTTTAAATAATTCTGTTATTAATTGACGATAACTGTCCGCCCACACCATACACTCATTTGAGCGGATAATAGGCATATATTAAAACTCATATACATGTCAACTTTCTTTCATAGTCATATATAAACATTGATGCAGCGAAGAAGCAATTAATGCACACTGATGCAGGCACCGCCAAACTGCTAACATAAAACCGTAAATCACCTGAACAACAACCAAAAAATAACTCAAGCGGAAAATTAAAACAGCTACACAGACGACACGAAAACTATCTCTTGGAATCGGTTGTTGCCATCTTCGTGAACTTTTACGTGGTTGGTCCTGTGGTTTGAAGTGTTCCGCACACCTGTCAGACTCATCTTTGAGGGAACACTGTCTGATTCTCGGCTTTTGTTGAAGGTGTTTCTGAACATGGCAAAGAACCCTTTGTTTGAACCCTGCGACAGCCTGGACTGTACCGAATGGCCGCGTGTGTCCATCATGCTCATCTCCCAGGATGCCTCGCGACCAAGGCATGCGCACAAGATCCGCTTGATGTGGAGGCGGAACCTCTGCCCGAAGAGCGCGTACAGGAACGGGTTGACCGCCGAGTTGGCCGAGGACAGCATCCCGACGAAGTACAGCACGTTCACGGGAACGTTGTACTGCGGCACCCCGTAGTGGTCGATGGTGTTGGTGACGTGGAGGGGGATCCAGGAGAAGAAGAAGAACAGGACGATGACGGTGACCATCTTGGTGACGCGGTTTCGGTTCTCCGCGCGCCTGCGCGCCTGCATGGCCACGGCGATCTCCATGCCGTCCTTGATCCGCTTGTAGAGCAGGACGTAAGTCGGGACGAGGATGAACAGCGGCACCACGTTCCAGGCGACGAAGCGGTACATGAATAGGGCACCGATGAAATCATTGGTGGCCTTCACGCCTGACGGAACCCAGATCGAGCAGTGTTCCATGCCGTAGGCCGACCTGACCTTGGCAAAGATGGTGGACGGGAGGCTGAGGATCAGCGCGAGGACCCAGAGCCCGGCGCAGATCAGGAGGGTCCGCTTGGTCCCGGAGCCCCGGTCTCTTCGGCGCAGCGGGTTGGAGACGGCGCGGAAGCGTTCGACGCTCATGGCGGTGAGGAAGAGGATACTGGCGTTCACGGTCGCGGCGTAGATGCCCTTGTTGATGACACACATCGCCTGCCCGAAGATCCATCCGCGGGAGTTCAGCACGTAGGCGCTGAGGAACGGCACGAAGAGGCTGCAGTAGAGGAAGTCCGCCACCGAGAGGTTGAGGACGTAGATGTTCGGCACGGTCCTCATGTCTGCGTTGCTCGCGATCACGTAGATGACGAGGCCGTTTGCGAAAGCGCCGATGGCCGCGATGACCAGCTCGACCGAGGACCAGACCATGTTGTCCACGGTGAAGGCAAACGGCGGCACGGTCTGGTTGGAGAAGGGCTGAGAGTCGTTGGCGAAGCTGGTGGTGAAGCCGTGATCCATGGACCAATCTAGCGACGCAGTGCTGGCCGTGGGATAGGTATCAAACTGGACGGACTGGTTGAAATCCATGGTTGATTAACCTTATGTTGTCGGGAATAGATAAGTGGATCGGCTGCCTTTGAACACCTGCTCCCGAGGTACCTAGGGGCACATATCTGTTCGTGAATTTCTGATGAAATATTAAACATCTATATAGCCATATCAGTCTTACGGTACAACACTAACAGCAGTACTGAAAAACCCTTGATTGAAGTACAATCTGCATACAAAACATTCATCAATATGTCGATGAGGCTAGAAATCAAGGTAATGAAATGTATACAAGGAAATTGTTACTCTAGCAACTGGATAGATTTTGAAAACCTTTCCAGTTGCTTGAGTACAAATTTTCTTACGCATTCATGAATAGAAACGAAACTAAGACATGAACATGGAAAGGACTTGACAAAAAATCAAAGCTCTGACAAGCGCATGCAGCTTCGTTTGTAATTACATAAAGTTTTGAGACGATTTCCAACTTACTGTTATACAGCAGAAGTACTATGGATACTGGGGAATCCAATGGAGATCGCCAGGTCTAACTGTCCACAGAAACCTGCAAAAAGCAGCAGAAAATACGTAAGTGGTGAGCACCAAGACCTTCACACGGTAATCTGGAATTCAGGCAAACAAGGAATAGATCTAGATTTAGTGCCGTGGCAATAGCCTTCTGTGCTTCGTGCGCACAAGCAAGTACAACAGCTGGGGTCCATCTGCTGCACCTAGTACATATCATGTCAACTCTGTGACGGATTGAGGCGAAATTTATCGATGTATTGACTCGGCGTGGAAGGCAAGCCTACGCCTACGTATTTCCGTCACAGGTAACCACACCTACTTCGGGCGGCCGTCTGAAGTGTGATGATTAATGAAGGTACTTAATTGGGAGCTTATAAAGACTGATGGTGACGGCGGGGTCTGGTGGTTGGGAGAGTTATTCTGGTCAGGCGACATCAAAGGAGGCTAATGCTGTGGTCACATGTCCAAACCGGGGCCCGGCCGGGCAGGGAACGAAAAGTATGATATAAAATACAACAGATCACAAACAAAGTTGAAAAAATTAGTAATGGAAATTAGTTGCGTGTATTATTAATATGAATTGTTGATTTTTCGTTAATCGAAACAGCCCGGCTAGGCCCCGGTTTGAAAATGTGAACTCAGTATAAGAGAAAAAAGGGGCTTAATTTTTATATGTGCTCTGTGCTCAATACCTGTATTATATGTCAAGACCAGAAGTATGATAAGTCGCGCACCATGTCTAGACAGTACTGAATGTATCTGGCAGCAGGTTCTTTAAGCCTGCGTGTGGGTTTGGCAGATAAAGCTGAGAAGAGTTTATCTCTCTGAACAGCTAGCCACCCTAGTCTTGAGTCTTTACTACATGTCGGATTGAATTAGGTGGTAAAACGAGGTACAACTTCGGAGTCTTTGTTTTAATCTAACTTCAGGCGCAAGACAGATCCCAGAGTGACATAGATGCATCCATTGCCGAAGAAGATAAAGGCATCCAATGCAACTGAGAGCGGCTTAGTATAATGGCTTTCAAAGTCAATTTTCTGGTCTGGTCTGTAGAGAGTTGAATCAACCCTGCCCCATAGCATATGATACATGTACATATGTGAGGCAGACTGCAGATGCAGAACCAGGAGATGATGATCCATATGACCACCCTTCATTCCCCTGAACATCATTGTTTTTTTTAATCATGACTAGACATGGTGACGGCACACTCATGTTATCAACTTATTTTATGTCGCCACCAGCACAGAGGACAAGTACAGGGCAGGACAGTACTCATTTTTACTGGAGTTAAGTGAGGAAAGTTGTGTAAAGAGCACAAGATCGGTGGCATGTCAGGACACGAACACGGGACTATAATTGTTGAACACCACCCTTCATTCCCGGATCCCCTGAACAACTGTAGATTATATATTTTTCCCGTATGGTCGGCACCATGCAAGTCACAAAGCGGCCTGACGGCGTTGCAGCAGTTCTTGACCCTGATAAAAGGTCAACAATCGGCGCCTGTTGCTAATCGATACGTAGTCAACTCGTTAATATTTGAAAGCGAAGACTGATTACTAATTATAAGCACTTATTCGTTCTGCATCGATCTTCGAATTAACGGTCGTACAATTTATCATGATTGATTCACTTCCTCAACCAGTTGCAACATCTGTTACAAAGTCTATGGACATTTTACTGACTCTTGAACATAAAGGCAGTATTAATGAGGTCAGACATAACGAACTGTAAAAGTACGTGCCTTCCGAATCTCGTGGCCTTGGGAAAGACACTTCACACGATTTCCCCACCTATATGGTGGAGTGACGCCCACCAAGCCTCTTACGCTAATCTGTCTAACTGTGTGCCAAAAACACACTGCGGATTGGTTCGCCAATGGCAATGTGTCAACATCTGCACATTTGCCACCGAGAGCCATTACGTTTTTTCCGAATCTTGTCACGGAATAACACAGGATGGAGAGGGTTTATGGTTCATGGCCTGACGTCTCATATGGGAGATGCTTCACGCACCGTTGCGTGACGGTACGTTACCGTCCTGGTGTCCTGTCACGTAGGAACCTTGTAATGTCCTTGCGGATCTCAATGTCTTAAGCCTTTGTCACATACCTCCCACCGAATACCAATCAGCCAAGGTTGGCTGAAGTTCGGGAGTAGATTTAGACCATGCCTACATTTCTCTACGACTCTAATCAAAATGTGAGTTAAATTTAAGTCAAATTTGACTGCCAACCAAGCCAACCACTGCTGGCATACTTTCGAACACAGGCAACAATGGCCGAAACTCCGATCCACACCCGAATGTTTAAAACATTTTGAAACATTCGGTTGGCACAGCCGAACAGCAGCCGACCTCGCCAAACACCAGCCAACCACAGCCGACCTTGCTCCCGACCTACTCCCAACCATGGTTGGGGGGGGGGGGCAGTGTTGGTGAGGCAATATTCGGCTATGTGTGACAGGGGACTTAACGTACCGATCGCTACCAGGGTCAACTTGATCCAATTTACTCATTAGAACGGTTGGCTGCTTTGAGAACATTACCTCCCAAACCACTGAAGATTACAAGTAAACGTTTGCTTTGCTCGCTTTATGACGACTTTACCCAAAATCCATTATACATTACAACGGCAAGAGTACCGCTGGAACCAGTAACGACCAGTAAGCTTGTATAAGGAAAAGCACATTGTTTTCAAGCCTTAAAGCTTCTTGACCTTCTCGTATAGACATAGGCTAATAGATGTGAAGTTTGCGACCCAAGTTGTCGATTTTCCAAGGCTATGAAATTACAGTGAGTTGATGCTGTAATACAGCTCCGATGTCGAGTTGTTTGGGTATCAAGTATCCATTTACGTGTCCATTTTTGCCCGAGTGTTGGACCATCCCTTGCAGTGAGGTCGAGAATTTATTTCACGATCGTGTCCTTATGATCGGCCTCGCATTGCCGTTGAACTTCAAAAACACGATCTGGCCATACAGCGCGACCGATACTCATAACTGCATCGGCCTTATCACTGCCTGCTGTGTATGGATACGTGCCAACTCAAATTTTCGACACCCGAGGTTTATTAGACCGTCATCTCACAGTAATTTCATTGGCGTGAAAAATCTGTTCGGGCCGCAAACTGCGCATTAGCCGTGACATATTTTGCTGCCTATCACTATAATAATGTAGCGGGCGTTTTCAACTACAGAATAGCCCTTAAGAAAAACACATTTATGGGGACATAGATGCCATTATACAAGGCACAGCTGTGGACTGCTCTATGTATTTTTAAAGTACCGTCTTATGGGTACCGTATAAAGGCCTCCGCTGCCATCCTTGACTGGCAATCCTGGTAGGGTTGTAAAAAATCTACAAGGGTGTCATTTTTCTTGTTGCCTGACCTGAAAATTATTGTTTTCTTTTCGGGATAAGTCCTACCCAACACCTGTTGTGTGACATTTAAAGCCTGACAGATAGCAGCGTCGTAATTGAGCTGAATGACTTGTAATGAAAGCAGGGTGGATGGTAGAGAAGGCAATAGTGGTTTGGTTTGTACACATGTATAATTCAGCAGGGCAATACCACCATCCCCAGTCAAAGATAATGGTGAAACAAAAGAAACCGGCATCTGGCCTTGCATGAATCTACTGCTATTGAGAGGTTGACAACGAAATACACTCACCAGTTTCCTTAATTAAACGCTAACCTTTGCATTACGGTGCACTAGATATCAGCCCAACCTGATTCAGAAATGAATAGCATACATCCTTAACTGATATGTACCGTAGATAAATCGCTTGCGTTAAGATGCGGTCACATTCGTCGTAAGTTGCCGTGCGATTTTGATATCGTAGACAGTAATCTGTGACAAAACCAACCGCCAACTAATACTGACCGTTCGCTGGAGTTCTTACCACACACGTACAGCTATTCCTAAAGTGCCCCTAGTTTACGCACCTACCACGGTGCACCTACATGTACATGTACGACAGACGACCGTACCGCACCCTTACAACTCAGATAAACCTGCTGCCGTTCAGCGTGTAGAATCCAAATATTTTTTCCCTGGACCTTTGTATATGTTTGGTATTGTTTGTATACGACTTCTGCATGGAATACATTTGGCCTTGCATGAATCTAGCGCTATTGAGAAGTTGACAACGAAATATACTCACCAGTTTCCCTAATTAAACGTTGACATTTGCATTGCGGCGCTCTAAATATCAGAACTAGGTTCAGAAATGAATAGCATACATCCTCAGCTGATATGTACCGTAGATAAATCGCTGTCTGACCTTGTAGTACTCTTGGCAACAAAGCAATTAACGAACATGATGGCTTTTTCCCCTTGAGTGATTTAGCGTAACTTTAAATATGTACAATGGAGACACTGACCTAATTTTTCACAGCGAAGAAGATTGTAACTGGGCGATATATTACATTGAGACAGAGCGGACTAAATGACTTAGTTCTTCAGACTTTTAACGTATAAATGGCTCATCAATATTTTAGCCAGCTTACAAAGGGAAATCAGGGCGAATTCTGCCGTTTTAAGTGCCTCGAACAGCGATGGAGGTCCCATATGGCATGCTCTACTTCCACGGACATCTACATCATTCACAGAAGGTCCTCAATGCCATTAGGAATCGTCATAGGAAAGGTCAGGTCTATGATATTTCCGCTCTGCATGGCGCTTATCACACCAAACCGTTATAAACACAGCCAGAATCAGCCACACGTAAAAGGTTGGACATGGAGCTGGCGAGGAGAGGAGGTTTAAGCAAAGGACAATCATGAAGCAATCAGTGCAGCGGACTGATTGGGACACAAGTCATGCCAATAAGAAGGGCCCCAATCAGCCTGCACCAGCTCCTGAGAAGGAACCGATGACCTGGACGATAAGACATCAGAATAATTGGTAGTCACTTCTTGTGGTCAGATTAAAGGCATCCAATGCAGTTTTTAGGGCTTCGAAACCATATGTTTCAAAGTCAATATTCTAGTCACTTATCTACATACGAAGTTGAAACAACACTGTCCCAATGT